GAGATACTGTGGTGGTGGTTCCCGACCACCACCATAAAGCGAATATCACAGTAGAGCAAGTCTCCTGAATTTTTTGGTTTCCCAGTGCCTATAGCGGTCAGTTTGCACTGTATTTAGTCTGTTAAGTGTGCAATAGCATCATGAAAATGTGACACAGGGACATGAAGTTGTTCATTTCATGCTGTTGGGAAAATGGCACCCGTAGACTTGCTCGATGCAGGGTTGCCACAAACCTTCAGTTTGTCAAAGATTGAAGTATCCGCAGAGCACAGTAAAACAAGGTGTGCTGTATGGGACTACACAGCAGGCTGGTCTATTACCGAGTTCTTGGAAGAGCCTTGTGTGTAGTTGCTAGCATGCCTTAACTTGGTTCCCTCTGGGGGGCTTCCTCAGATACCACCTCTTAGTTGCAGAACAGCCTTTCCAGCCATACGACGAGGGGTGATGTCCTTAGTCAAGAACTTTTTCCCTGGGAGGAGAGGCAAGGGAGGGCTGAAAAGTGCTGCACGGAGCTGAAGACAGACTGTAGCATCTCCGGGATTCAGGAGCTGGTCCTCCGTGGTGTTTTCTCAGTGCCCAGCCTAGTACACCGAGGACTTTCTGCTTGTGCAGCTAGTACCTGGTGTTCAGTAAACTCGTGGTCATGGAACTGATTTCCAACTCATGGCGCCCCGTGTGGCACAGAGCAGAGCTGCTCCATATGGTTTTCTTGGCTGTAATCTTGACAGAAGCAGAGCTTCAGGGGTTTCTTCCTTGGAGACATTTGGTGGGTTTGAACCACCAATCTTCAGGTTAGTAGCCAAGGACACACCATTTGTGCCATATGTAGATCTTGGTGTGCAGTTGTTACTGTTGGTGCCATTGAGTCAATTCTGACTCAGCGACTCTATAGGACAGCGATTGTTAGGCCACGACCTTTATGGAAGCAGACTGCCATGTCTTTTCTCCCTCAGAGAGGCTGATGATTTGAACCACTGGCCTTAGGGTTAGCAGCCAAGCACTTAACCATTGTGTCCTCAGGGCTTCGTGGAATACAGTAGCCTGTAACAAATAGTAAATTAAGGAATGAAGAAAGAAATGAAAGAATGAAAGAGTGGAATGAATTCCATAGAAAAGAGATGTATCCGGTTGTTTGTTTGGTGGGTATATAACCTTGGTTGTTAGCTCATAGTTTATGTAGTTTTTAATCCTCTGTTGGTCTTCTCAGAGCATCTTAAGAATGTCCAGGGAGACATGGTGCTTGTAGGAGCCATGTTTTAAGTCCAGGGTGACCTTAAAGTTAGTCCTGGTGCTGAGACAGTCAACATGGGTTTTTGATACTGTTCTAAATGAAAGGGTGGAGAACATCCTCATGCCGCCATTGGCTTTCAGATTGTCAAAATAAGATCTTTCTGATGTTTGTTAGGTGGCCGTGGACAGCCGCCAAGTTGGGATATAAGAAGTTCGTTTCTCAATTTTCTAAATAAGTCTCTTTTTACAAGCATAGCGCCCCAGCGGTCTCCTTTGAAGTTGTTGTTATGCGCTGGGCCGCGGTGTTATTTCTAAGGAGTCAGCCAGCAGGCTTGAGGTCTTTTTGGCTTGAATTCACTAGCAGCCTCTGGACAACATAACTCATTTACTTGTCTCTTCCCCTCCCCTTCCATCCATCCCTGCTTTCCCTCCCCTCTCTCCATCAGAACGGTCCCCCCACCGGCCCATCCTCCAAGCTGGACTGCCGGCAAATGCCTCCACCGTGGTCGGAGGTGACGTGGAGTTTGTTTGCAAAGTGTACAGCGATGCGCAGCCCCACATCCAGTGGATCAAGCATGTCGAAAAGAACGGCAGCAAGTACGGGCCTGACGGGCTGCCCTACCTGAAGGTCCTCAAGGTGAGCACATTCTGAGTTCGAAGGAATCCCCACCTGGGGTCTACTCTGGCGGTGTGGCCACATGGTTTGATTTCCTGTTGAATTTCAGAGGAGTTGAGTCTCATGCTTTGATTGGCCAGTGGACTGTGTTGTGGAATGAGCAGCTCATCCTGCCTGCTAATAAAATTCCAGAAGGGAAGCTGTGTGGTAGTGGAAGGCAGAGTAGAACCAGAGTCAGCATAGTTTCAGCTAGTTATCAGCCATGTGCTCTTAGACGAGGCTTGTAGACTTTGCTGCACGTCTATAGGAATGAGCAGAGTTAGAGATCATAACTCCCTTGCTGGGCAGTTACGTGGAACAGATGAGATGGTGTGCACGAAGAAGACCTTGGTAAGGTCCCAGCATTGTACCAACGTTTGTCGTTGCTCGGATGTTGGTTTTGGTTAAGGTGGCATTAGCATCAAATTACAGTAGCTACCTTTAGCAACTGTTTGGATTTTCCTTTGAAAAAGCATCCCATAACCTTTGAAATCCACACACACTTCATTTAGGCAGGACGTGTTAGCAAGGATTCTGCACTGGTGCGAAGTTGAACAAAGAAATTTCCTTTCCCCTTGGAGTCCTTGTTGGGCTCCTTAGAAATCCCCAGTTTTGTAGCATCAGCCTCTCTCTCTCTCTCCCTTTCTCCCTCCCCCAAGCTGACTCGCTCATCAAGATGACAATCTCAGGCAGCAGCTACGTCTCCTATTAGTTCTTAGCTCTGCCGTGTCTCCCACATTTAGTTACTCACAGAGAATGCCCTTGAAATAAACAGTCTTCCAGTGGAACCAGAGGTAACGCGACAGAACTCAGCCAAAGAGAGGTTCTCTCCAGCTAATCGTGTTTTTGATCAAAAAAGCTGGAAAAAGAAATCACCGTGCAGAACCTACCAGCTCATCCTGCCCCGATCACGCGTTCCTCCCCTCCCTGTAGATCACTTGCACTGTCTGCCAGTTGCCTTATTTTGTTCCTTTTTAGACCCACAGCCGTTTACTGCTGCTGTTTAGACGTGATGGAGGTTGTTTTCTTGTGGTGTGTTGGTGGTGGGACCATAGACAGTGTGAAGTCCTCCCTGGTGGCCCTTCATATTGTTCTCCTGTATCTGTTCCAGCACTCGGGGATAAATAGTTCCAATGCAGAAGTGCTGGCCCTGTTCAATGTGACTGAGGCGGATGCTGGGGAGTATATATGTAAGGTCTCCAATTATATAGGGCAGGCCAACCAGTCTGCCTGGCTCACTGTCCTGCCAAAACAGCAAGGTAACAACGTTTTTGTTTTTGCTTTTTTATTTCTTTTTAAAGAAAGCTGAATATAGAAGCTGAAAAGACTTGGTGCTTTGGGAGCCTGCAGGAAGCGTATAGGATGACTCTGGTGGCCTTGGTACATTTGTAATCATCTTTCTTTGGTGATGCAGCTGGTTGGATGCCAGCAGCCATGGAAAAATGCCCACGATGTTCAGAGTGCTTGCTCTCATTTCTTAGCAACATCATGCTCCACCCTCGCCTGCTTGATCAGTTGTTCCTTCTGGTTTGTCGAGGAGCCCTGGTGGCCCAGCGGCTAAATGCCTGGCTGCTAATGGAAGGTTGGTGGTTTGAAACCCACCAGCCACTCTGGGGGCAAAAGATGTTGCAGTCTGCTCTCATAAAGAGCACAGCCTTGAAACAGCCTTTGGGGCAGTTCTACCCTCTTGACACCAACTTGACGGCTGTGGGTTCTGGTTCATCTTGTGTGGGCTGCATGTGTCCTGTCATTGGACATGACCACCATTTTAGACATCATGAGTGCTGATTGCATTGGTGGCCTTTGGTAGAGTTCATGCCTATATCTCCCCCACATTTTGATAGAAATGTTGGCATGATGGAATTTGTCCAACAAAGCATCCTTCCTTGGTGGCATAACTGATGCTTACGAGATACCTGTCCTTGATCTTGGATTTTCAAGTTTGAGGGCAATTCATGTTAATAACTGAATACAATACACTGCTGAATACTATTGAAGGCAGATGGTTGGCTTTCATGGTTTGTCATAACTTGTGTTCACATGTTTATGTTTAAAAAAAAAAAAAAATAAAGCCAAGCTTTGTTGCTACCAAGGTCATAGTTTCTTCTGTTTTCCTTTGATGCTCTATAAGCCAAGGGGGTTATACAGGAGTAGAAACAACCAGAGCCTCTTAACCAAGAACACCTTCTGCCTTGATTGGTTCTCTCACAGGGCCAGGAGGTCCTGCAAGGGCTCTGGGTGGGCATATCTTCCAACATACCCATCTAGACAGGCACTCGTTTCTCAAAGCCTGCAGCAAACAGGCCCAGAACCCAACTTAGCTTTTTTTGGTGGGAGGGACACCAGCCCTAAATCCCAAAATCAAGAGAAAGCAAAGAAAACGAATCTCTGTGGGTTGATTTTTCCATGCCTCTGATTGCACGCATGTCCAGGTGGTGAAGCCAGTGTGGTGATGGGCCGGTGGAGGTGAGCTGGTCAGTGTCGTCCGTGTCTCTCGGTTGTGGGCTCTGTGGACGGGCTGCCGTCGGAATCGCCTGGCGGCCCACCCGCCGCCAAGGTCCCCGGCGTGCTGCCTTGTGGTTCCCCGGCCCCCCCACAATCATTCCTGCATCTAGCCTTTTCTCTCGCTTCCCTTGTTTTCTAGGCTGCTGGTGTTAACACCACGGACAAAGAGATTGAAGTTCTCTATATTCGGAATGTAACTTTTGAGGATGCTGGGGAATATACGTGCTTGGCGGGTAATTCTATCGGGATATCCTTTCACTCTGCATGGTTGACAGTTCTGCCAGGTATATACGCTCTTCTCTCTGTGGTTTTTCCCTCTTCTCGGTTGATTGCTATAAAATTAACACAGCTTCTGTCCTCAGAAATGGCCCTTTTTATCCTTGCATAATGATTAAAAAAAAAAAAAAGTTTAAAATTATCCCCCAGGGATCAGAAAGTTGCCTTGGAAATGCTCTTCCAGTGCAATCCCATCCTCACATTTATGATCAAGTAAAATTTCTCCCTCGAAACCCAAAGGGAGCTTCTCACATTTTGGGCGAGTCATTGAGTCAATGTACAAACTCCCTGAAGAAGTTGAAATTACTTTGCACACGTCAAAGTAATTTTGTCTCGCTCCAGATTCCATTTTTGCTAACGCCCCTCGTGTCTTGGTGTGGTAGCTGTATCCCACTTGGTGTTTCTAATGAGATGTAAACCAAGGGCGGCGGGTCGAGGTGCCTGGGCACCTGTTGGGCAGGTATACAGAAGCAGTGTGTTACCTCCCTTGGGAATCGGTGGCTCGTTGCATGTTTCCATAGAACGGATTCAGGTTGCTTTCACGGCAGAGCATGCTCCTGCCATCTTGGGCTTGATGTTATTTCTGCTCGACAGAGAAATCAACATCAGGGAAGCCCTGTTGCCTAGACATGGCTGCCTCTGGGTCTGCACTCAGCATCTCTTCCTGCTCAGACTTTCTTGACTATCACTGTCTGCTGATGTATCTGCCTCTTTCCTGTTTCCTCTGTGAGGCTGCGTAGACCATGGTTTGCCTGCACAGACCATGGTCCCCTAGCCGGGATGTTCCACTCCGGTTATTAATCGCTCATTTTTAGATCCAGTGCCTCCCCGCATGCTTATTTGATACCTCATAAAACATGCTCATCGTTTCGTTTGTGCTGTGTGGCTGAGAGTTTTGACTGCCTTGCAAGTATTTTTCTGATTACAGCGTGTAAGCTTTCAGTAATGCCATTGCATCCATGTTTTCCTTTTGTTGTGAATCTGCACTGTGAATATCTGCTTTGAAACAAGTAGATGCCCTTTGGTCGAGCTTGCTTTTACTTGCCATATTGCACTCTGCGAGTGCCTGACGGGCACTTTCTAACCAGTCTGCCTGACGGTACTAGCACATTAATGAAGAATGGAGTTTGAGAGATAACTAGTTGGAAGTACACTGGTTTTAGCTTGACCACTGAGCACTAAGGAGGAGGTGTTAGTGGACATTCCTATGAGAATGTGCTAAATTAAGGAATTACACGTGTACATATATGCCATGCCATTTACATTTTTTTTTCATTAAAAGTTAGAACCAAATGCACAAAAATGTAAATGGTCACATTATGCTTCCATGTTATAAGCAATTCCATTTTTATATTGAATGCATTTGTTTAATTTGGATAATATGCTGGATTATATTAAGAATTCCAAACCTTTTTAGAGCAGCCTATGAGGTGCATATTTATTTCATTTCACGTGGAACTCTGTTTGTGTGGGGTAAATCGTCATTTCGAAGAGCCTGTCTCAGTGAGACTGACAGGCTGCATCCTCACTGATGAAAGTAGGTATCGGTCATAGTTCAGAATATTTCATTCTTTTGCTTTGGAGAGCATCATAACAGATGATCCTTTCATTGTGGGTGCAGTTGATTGTCCTTCTCCACCCCAATGTCTAATAGAATGTGGCCTCGGAGCCTGCCCTTTGTAACATGGTGGCAGCTGCTCACTGAGTTGCAGATGTCCACTGAGGCCAGTACTGCTGGGGCCCTGGTGGTAAAGTGAGGGGCCCTGGCTTCATACCCTTAGTTGAGAAGAGGAACATGGTGGGCCCCTTGCCCAAGCCATTCTACTATTGAGTTATTGGGGAGCCACATTGCCTCGGGCACTGGTCTTCTCTTTTCGATTCCTGTCGTCGTGGGACAGTGCATCTGCCTAAGATCCTAACTTTGTGGCCTGCTTATCTGTCCCCTACCCTGTGATCTGCGATCCAGCTCCTGTAAGAGAAAAGGACATTACTGCTTCCCCAGACTACCTGGAAATAGCCATTTACTGCATAGGGGTCTTCTTAATCGCCTGTATGGTGGTGACGGTCATCCTGTGCCGAATGAAGACAACGACCAAGAAGCCGGACTTCAGCAGCCAGCCGGCTGTGCATAAGCTGACCAAGCGCATCCCTCTGAGGAGACAGGTAACAGAAAGTAGATAAAGAGTTTAAAGACATTTACT